ATATTATAAAATATTATAAATGTAATTTTTAGCATATATAATAAACGTACCATATACTAGTATAATCCAAACTAGACGTGTACTATCGATGGTATACGCGGTCTGAATAGAAATTCGGAAATAATCATCTGGAGTGTTTTTATATCCCAGTGCGGCGGCAAAAAAAAATGTGAATTGTTGTAAAATAAATATTGTTTAATATATTGTTGTGAAATATTGTTTAATATCCTTTCTTTCTTTTTAAATAACTTAATTTTTTTAATAATTATTCTTTACAAATGTTTAAATATAAAATATAAAATCTCGAAAAATAGCAACAAAAAATTATTATTAATTAATACCTATTTTTAGAAATACTGTTATTGTAATAAGCTATTGTAATGCGCTCAATTTGTTTATATCTATTGGTTTCTACTTCTTTCAGAAAATTTTGAGTAAATCCATAATGTTCCCAAATACTAATAAATTGGAAAACAATCAATATGTCGTTAAAGATAATAATTTTTAATTGGGATATAAAAATATTTTAGGTGATTGTTTACATAAAAAAAAAATAAGATGACTACTCGCGAGTTAGTTGTACAAAGGCTAACTTTGTTAATTATTTCGCGTATGTCAGTGGGCGCGCATAGTTCTGGTCGTGGAGAGAGGCGTGAGTCCTGCTGAAAGACTGAAAAAGTTGACAGACTATTCTCAACCCATGTCCGACGGTCGTAAAGCGTTGGTTCTTCGATTACATCAAACTGTGAGTATTCGTAAACCTGGATGAGAAGAAATAGTTTTTTTATGTCGATGCTATCGATTTTAGGAGGAAGACAAGGAGGAGATGAAGGAGATACTCGAGATGAAGAGAACCCATGATAGATTGCTGAAGAAAAGACAAAATAGAATGTCAAAGGAAAAGATTATATCTGAAACGGAACCCATTATTACCAAGAATTGAAGTAATAAGCTTTTTGCTTATCTCTGTTTATATATATATATATATATATATATATATATTTATATATATTTTTTTTTTATTGTAATTAATTTATTAATAATTTTTAATTATAAAATTACATAATTTTGTATGAATTATGAAGAAATAAAATTATTGTGGATTAGAATAAGTAAAATTTTGATCAATAGATCGAGCTAATACTGGAGTTGCCATGACGACAAACCGTCGTATTATCCTCTGTTATCATGTCAAACTGTCGTAGAACTCAAACAGGAAACATGCTAAAAGGAAAAAAGACGCACTATGAGTGTATTAAAAGCGCCGATAGACTATAAGAGATTAGAAGAGGAACTTTACGCAGCTCTTGCAGCTGATAAGTTATATAAATTACAAAACGACGCTAAAATTCGCGCGATTGAACAAGCAGTGCCAACATATGAACACTTTAGACAAATGGTGACTGTAATTTTGGTTATTTGTCATCACATAAGAAATTTTGAGTATACATGGTCGTACTTTGATTGTGTTCAAAATTTAGTTCGAGAATTGTTCAACATTGTAGTTAAATTAATATAGTTAATTAATTATTACTTAAAATAAATTAATAATTAAATGAATTAAATGATATTAATAAAATAATTTAAGTTAATGAATTATAATTTTTTTAATATTCTCCAGTAAATTTTGAATTAATTAATTATAACGGCAGGTGAATGGTGCTCACTTGAAATCCCTGGATCGCAATGATATGAAATCTAAAAGTAGTGTGCAATGGAATCCATTGATTAAACCTGCTAAGTTTCATGACTCAACTGTATCGGAAGTCTTAAAAAAATCAACACGAGATAAAGGCAGCATTGAAAGTACCGTGATAAAATCTCGAAAAACATGCAAGGACTTTTTACAATCTTGGAGAACAATTACAGATCATTCCGAAAAGTTTACTTATGTGTGGAACCTAAGGTGAGAATCATAAGATACATAAGGGTGTTGCCATACGTCAGTGGCGTATTCTTATTGTAATGTAGAAACGATCTGCAACATCACGTCTTTCGAGTGGAAATCCCGGCATCTTTTCTCGGTGACTTTGCAAACGCGTGTCTGCAGCATTTGTCAAAAGTGGATGATATAACGCCAGTTATAGAACTTCTTGGCATATTGAGTACGTGTAATCGGTTTGATTTGACGATGTGCTTCATGACGAGGGATGAGAAATCTACGTGCGAGCGGCTTTTCCAACAATTACAGCTGAAGGGAAGGTCATCAGATAAATCTTTCAAAAGTGCGATCAAATCGTTAGCCGCGAAATATGAGGTTAAGCTTGATTAACAAAGTAGAGTGTACTTATACGATAAACAATATTATAAATATGTATAAATAGATGAGAGAGATAAAACAAAATAAATTATTGAAGACTAAATTATATTGCTAAATTATTCTTGTTATTATTATTATTATTATTATTGTTGTTATTATTATTACAAATATAATCTGCTTATTAATAGTGAAATTAACCAAAAAATAATCGAAAGATATCTTGCTAAAACAAAAACTATACTTATTTTATATAAATATTATCTGCACATAGACAAAAACGGGAGAGATATAAACAGATTAAATGTGATTAACAACTCTCTGTTAAATTATTATTATTATTATTGGAATCAAAGTCGATAAATATATTGCTAAACAAAGAATTAAATTGGAACGCTCTATAATCATGGGGTTTGATAAGTCGCGCAATTTGTTCAAATCGAAGCAGAGGGAGGTCGAAGTAAGTTCGGAGACGTTCGGAGTAATCGGAGCAGACGACGCGAGCACGTGACTAGTCGGACAAGATGGCGGCGTGCGGTGTACGCATGTATGTACAGTGCCGCATACTTGAAGGACAACACAGCCGTCGCGTAAACGTGATAATGATAGAGCACATACTACTCTATTCTTATCGGTTACATGCGCGAGAGCGCGTCGACCGTTTCGAGAAAGACGGCTGCGAACTTGCCGCATGACTCGTCTATGCGTTTCGCGGGACCGCCATGATGTACACGCAGCCCGGCGGTCGTCCGTGCGTGCGTGCGCGCGTGTGTGCACGTAAACAAGACGTCTCGTCGCGCCATCGTCGTCGTCGTCGTCGTTGCTGTTGTCGTCGTCGTCGTCGTTGCGGATTCGTCGCATCAGTCCGGAATACTCAGACGCTGGACGACTCTCCCGAATAGATTGCGAGATCAGCTGGTCGGATCGTCCGCGCGTCGATAAGATATGCGCCGCGGACGTCGTGCCGCAGCGATCGGTCGCGCGAGACGACGGCGATTAACCCGCTGCGCGTTATCACTCAATCGCGTCACGCGTCTCTCGCCGCGAGGGTGAGAGAGTCGACGGGAGAGCGGGACGGTCGCGTGACGCGTGAAAAATAGAAAGGAGTATAAAAGGAAAAAAGAAAATACAAAAAAAAAAAGACGGGTAACAGAAGAGCGCGCCGTCCCGACGCCTCCGCCATGAGGCTGGAGGAGATGCCGTTGCGGTTGAGCTCCGACGAGCGGGACTTTGAAATGGACGATGATGAGACTGATTATCTGCTGCAGCCGTCCGAGGACAGCATCAGACAGCTGACGTCGAGGCGACGGCGCATCGTCAATTGTTCCAAGTACCTGAAGAGCTGCCTCTGCGGGTGAGTCTACAGAGTGTTTCGGAAAACGACGCGTCGTATGAGTTGCAATCCTTGCGGTTGAACTCGCAGTCGTGATATACATATATTGTAGATTCTCGCCGTTTTATCTTATCGCTTTTCTTTTCAAATCGCCTTACGACAATAATCCTGAAAATTGCTTATAAACTTCTGCCTTCCGACACACACAGTTTTAGATTCTTTTTTAAGAAATTTTTTATTTTTATTTTTACAACGACTGTTGTTTAATAGTCATACCGCTCCAGTTATGTGCATTTTTTACTTATTTACAATCTAATATTATATTGTAATTTATATTTTCTTATATATATATTACAATTGATTTTATATTGTGATTTATTTTGACAATTAATATTATTTATGATGATTTTTTTTTGTTTATGATAATCTTAAAGAAATATTTGTTGTGCGTTGATCTTTGCGGATGCAAATGGGTCATGAAATACTAAATTCACTTAATTGGCATTTAATGTTTAAAATTAGAGCACAAAGTTTTGCGCATAATTTATAAATATAATTCTTTAATCACATAATGAATTCAATTGAATTAAAAATTAAATTAAAATAATATGTAAGATTAA